GGTGCATAGTGCATCGGCCGTGAGTCTGAAATGTTGTATGTGCGAGATTCCCAAAACCCAGTTGTTTCTTGTACAGTGTTTCGGGATCTCGAGGCGGGGTGATAAACATTTACCCTACCTCACANNTTCAAAAGTTGTGCGACGCTTTTCAAACTCGCTGTTGAGGGCAGGTCCCGTGATGACCAGCCAGCAGAAGGAGTTGTGAGTGGCTTGTAGGCAAACCAAGCCTTAAACGCTTACGCGCTTGGGACCGTCGGGCCCGAAGATGGCGATGCCAAGGAGGGCTAGAGCGTACCGTGACGCTCAAGAAAAAGCGACACCTTTGTGCCTGGGGTTCAATGTTCTGCTTGCCTAGCAGCAATTTGAGCCCTGGATATAGATACATAAAAAAATATATATATATATATATCCTAGGTAGTATTAGGGAGACCCCTTGGAAGGGGACCCTTCCTAACCCTACTTCTGGCTCTCTTCAAAGGGACCCTATTGAGAGGGTCTACATATTTAAGGGGCCCCTTAATCCTAACTCCCTGTTGCTACAAGGCGACTCCCACGGGCTATTATGACGATGAGAAGGGCTCATCATTAAAAGGGTAGCTGTGAGGCTTATGATCGGGGTGATTGCAAGAGTCACTTTTCGAGCTGCTATTTTCCATCGGGGTTACTATTATGGCCGCAGTTGTCATGCCAACGGGACTAACTGTTTTGCTTTGAGATCGGTCCCCACGCAGCAACCGTTGTCCCGAACACAGTCACCACGATCCGGCCGAAGGCGCTGGCTGTAGGTTTCGTTGGATTCCAGCAACTTCGATCCCGAACAAGATAGGGGCAGGCACAATTGGGAGATACCCGCTGTTTTACATAAACACGCGGAGGAATCAGCGGTAAAGCGTGATAGTTACAGCACAGACCATCATGCTACTGTAGCGCTGTTCTAAGTCATCTCCCAAGCTATGATGCAAGCGGATTCCCATTTTTTCCAGTGGCCTCCATGCCGCCGCATGTTGGGTTCGTCAGATGGCTCCAATGTGGTGGCACTCTCCCAGCATGGATTGAAATTCGAACAGAGATCTCCGTAAAACCCTACACCCTAAATTCTCAACTGCCGTGCTCGTGAGCCTTCCGACACCGACCCGGAGGTTTACACCAAAGACTTCAGAGAAGAATGAAGTGACCACGAAGGATGAAGGGAGCTCGCAGCTACTTTAGGAGTCGGAATAATTGGTGGCTTTGTAGTCCTTCTAGAATCATATTGAAACACCACCACCCCGTTCCAAACAAGAAAAAAAGCCTGTTCTATTAAGTTATAAGGCCGCTATAGCAGTCGCCTTCCTGCCGCGAACTCGACGGGCTGAAGGGCACGGGCCGATACAGGGGCTTGGCTTGTACGGGCTAGACTTCGGGAGCCAAGATTCGAGCTCCACGGCTTAAGGACGAGGATTGTGGGGATTTAAGGCTTTAAGACCCCTGCTTGTTGCCAGGCCCTCATTGACAAGCTGGAAGCTCATGTCGCCGCCAGGGCCTCAAGCCCAAGGAAAAGCTCCTCAGCTGTCCTGTTCTGCTTAGACTGGCCGAAGCTATGTGGGGGTTTCCGAAAACAGGGGACCCTAATATAGTGCCCTAATAGTAGGCTCCTTATTATAAGAACCCCAAAATAAGGTACCCCCTATTTCCGAAACTCCCATGTTGTTCGCCACACACAAGGTTGTCAACATCTACGACGTGAAGCCCGATCCCCAGCGACAGAAGCTGTTCATCCCTCGCTGCCCCCACACTCTGCCAGTCTCGAAGACGCTGCGACCTTCCGAGGACGGAGCTCGTGGGTGTGGATACTGTGAAGCGCTGAGCAAGAGCCTGTTTGGTGTTGCCTCGGCTCTGGGGCACCTGCGTGACACCATCATTTTATTATTGTTAGTATTGTTATTATTATTGGAGGGCCACGGCCAAGACTGTATATTCTCGGGGGCCGTACGGCAATTCCAAATCTACATTCCAAGGCTTGGGCTGGGAAACTAGTTTTGCAACCCGGGGTCGAATATACAATTTTGCCGGCTGCCCTGGATCTTCCTCGGTTGCCGAAAAATCCGTTTCGGCAGTTCCGTTTCGGCAATACCGGGTTTCTGGGTTAGGGCTTCTTTGGATGCGAGTGGCAGCATTTGCGAGCTCCCCTGATCCGGAAAAACGACGGGCATCGCAGTCATTGCCCATAGGCTCCTCAGTAGTTCCTTTTTGGGATGACCTTATAGGATCCTAAATATAAACCACAAAAAGGAACTACTTTGTAGCCTATGGGTGTAGAGTCGGTGTAGAGTGAGCAGGAGAGCCAAGTCCCAGAGCGCTGGGATCCCCGTTGTATCCGTTTCCAAGCTTCTATCCCCGGAAGACCAGGGCTTGAGGGGGTTCAGGGTCTATGGGTTCGTGGTTTCTGGGTTTAGAGTTTCTGGTTTCAGGGTTTCTAGATGTTCCTGGGTTCAGGGGTTTAAGGTTTTGGTTTCTTGGTTGAGAGATTTGGGGTTCAGGGGTTTTGGGGTTTTGGGTTTAGACTGGTTTTAGGTTTCTGGTTTCTGGACTCAGGTGTTTAGGGTTTCCCGGGGTGCGGGTTTCTGCGTTTAGGTTTTCGGCGTTTTGGGTTTCTGCGTTCAGGGGTGTTCTTTGTTTGAGCATTTGTTTGAGCAGTCGGTGACGAGTCCATGTTGAGTCCATGCTGTGAAGAGCCCAGATCGAACTCCCCCCCAAACCCCTCATTTTATACATTCCCCGGGCCCCGTTAATGTTTATTCGGGAGAGCGGGGGTGGCCTGGTGCAACGACTTGGGCGTGGAGGTGCTATTGGTATTATTTGGATTCTTATTTGTGTTAGGATCATTAGTTTTATTTTCATTATCATTATTATTCGCAGCCAACAAATCGGAAGAAGTCTGGAATGTGCAAGTCAGCGCGCATCCCAGACTCAGGTGCGCTTCAAAGCCGAGGTACAGTTCAACCCTCAGGCTGCCGGTCCTGTGTCAACAGCATTCGCCAGCACTCGCAATCAATTGTGTATGTTAGTTAGATAACACAAATATGTAACATATGATCATCTGTGCCACAAATATAGACTTAACATGCAACATAGAACATATTCAGTTTATAGGTTGTTCATATATATATATACATAGTACATATATATATATATATTTTTGTACATACATACATACATACATACATACATACATACATACATTCATGGATATATATATATATATTAGATATACATATACACATAATATATGTTTACAGGCATATAGGTCGAAGAAAAGAGTATAGAATCAACTGAATCGTATTGTAGTAGAACAGAACATAGCACATAATGTAAACCATCTTTTTGTCATTCACAACATTTTATACACATTGTAGAATACATTGTACAATATAGCAGCCAATATCTGATGTAATGTATATACCATACACTATACAAGTATGTATGATCTATAGCGTCAACAAGAATCGGGTACATGTTTTTTTGCATTTTAGCACCTTGCATACTAAATAAGGTATAGCACATAGCCGATACTTTCAACCAACAACTTCTAACATCCAACATAGAATCTACCAAGAAAGCAATATGCGAGACCCGCATAAAGCAAACTATCACAGTGCGTGGTTGCCAAGCTGTTGCATCCAACGGAAGTTCCAGCGGAGAACTATACAACATAGAGCATATTTAGTATTTTGATTATTTGTGGCAAATAGATGGTTAAAAATATCATATACCTACTACGGGACCTAGAAGAAATAAACCCAGGACAGACTCCACAAACAGTGGTACTGGTCCTGGTAGCGGTCGTGGTAGCGCGAGTGGTGTTGCTATTACTTTTTAAGTAGCAGTAGTAGTAGTAGTAGTAGTAGTAGCAGCAGCAGCAGCAGCAGCAGCAGGCGTCGTCGTCGTCGTCGGAGTAGTGGCGGTAGTCGTCGTCGTCGTCGTAGTAATAGTAGTCGTCGTCGTC